CGTTTGAAAACAATTTTTAAGGGTTCGGGATTCTTATTAGCGTCTTAGGAAGGTTTTGAAGGCACCTAAGATGCTCCGCTTAGTGCGGCTTTCTGACAACTAACCATTTGACTAATATGTTTTTAAGATTTGCGAATTTTATTTGAAGTTAAACTTCCTAAATGTAAACTCTAAGCGAACTTCCGAATTTTGAAATGTCTATCATTTTGAAATTTAGTTTAGTTTTAAGTTTGATAAAATAAAATGACTTTCGACTTGGATCGGAGTTTTCCTAACCCTAAATTAACGGCGTTCAAAGAAAGCATGTAAACAAATAGTAAAGAGGGAGAGAGAGAGATTTGGATCCAATTTCGTGTTCTGTCCGCCTTGACCGAAATTTGGACCCACCTGCTTTTGGGTTTATAACCCATTTTTTTGTTTGGGTTTTTGACCCGCTTCACCTGTCCTAGTCTAAACATACAAAAATAAATATAGGAAAGTAAAACGACAAGGGGCTTATGCACATTACAAATAAAAAAATACAACATATAAAATAAAGAAACTTTCCAACCCCCTTTCTGAAGAAGAAAAGGGGTTTATATAGAAAAAGAAAAATTAGGGTTCTGGGGGAGAGGGCAGAAGGAAACATGCACTTTAGGGCCATAACCAATTCGAAATTTCAATCCCAACCTTATCCAAGGCTGAAGGAATATCCCATTTGATGCCAAAATCTCCAACGGATGGGAGGTGAGGTGAAGGGACGAGATCAATCTCTTGTACTGGGCAGGCTATGTGGAGCTATCTCGTGCTACAAGGACGAATATGCAGCTGCAAGGTTAATTTGCAGTCGGCTGGCAAAGTTGGGCAATCCAGGCTGCCCTGCTACGAGACATACTAGCGAGGGAGATAGAAGAGGGAGAGCCCGCGTGGGGGAGACGCGGGGGGAGGGGGGAGTTTTGAATTTTTGACGTTTTTTTTTGGGAATTTTGCTAGGAATCGCGCGTGAGTTCTGTTTTGGGGGAATTTTTGGCGTCTTCTTCTAGTAATTGCGTGGATCATTTGAAGAAGAAGAAGGAGGAAAAGGGATTCGGGTCGGGTTGGCCGGGTTAGGGAAAGGGGCTTGGGTTGGGAGGAAAAGAATTGTGTTTGGAATTGAACGGAGTGGTCCTGGGAAATTTATCAAATTAAAGAAATGGGCTAGAAAGGTAGTGGGCCTGGGAATTAATTAAAATGGGGAGGGGAATTGGTTTAATTTAAAAGATACCCAATTGAATTAAAATGATAAATTTGGCTAAACCTTAAATAAAATGAATTTGTATTAATTAATCAACGAGCTTCTTTATTTTAGTAATATAATTATAAAATAGCGATTCAAAATATAATCATAATTTTTAACTAAGAAGAAACTTACTAAAATTAAAATACTTTTGAGATGGTTTTTGAATAAACATAAAATATACCAATGATATACATAACTATGTAAAATATTATATTATTATATTTTCGCAAAATTTATAAAACTAATTAATTTAATTTGTTTGGAAAACTTATGAAGCTCGAGAATTAATTTATACCGACGTGAGTCAAAATTGGGTGTCAACAGGTTCAACATTACAATGATTTACTTTTATTTGCTTTTGTGAAAGTAAATTGCACACTGATTTGCTTAATTTTGTTTTCTTATTGCAGCTAGCTTTCATTGATTGTGACTACGAACAATCGCTTTACTCTCTTCACTTAAAGGTATGATTTTCTCCCCCTCCCGCAACTACCTAATAGTTACTTGTAGTTTTTCATTTGCAATAAGAAAATTTTGCTGCAAAAGATTGAATAACAGTGAAGGGTACAAGAGCTGGTATTTGCTCTTTTTTGGAGTTGTTTTGGTGGTTTGGCAAGGTTGAACGTGATCATTTGGAGGGTTGGGATTTTGCAAGACATTTCTATTTTTTTTTATGAGGGGGTGCATTTCTTAAACTCATTTGAAACTTTCGGGATATATGGTTGAGTGACATACATATTTTTTTCATTGTTCAAGGGATTGTGAAAATTGTTTTTTTGTTGTTTATTGTGAATAATTTCCTCATTATTCCTTTTGGGTTCCCGATATATGCTCTGCTTCACATGAATTGCAGCAATACTACTATCCTCATTTGCATTAGATTGCAAAGGACTTCTATCATTAGAGTTAGGAACTTGACAAGAATGGTGATTAGTTCATTTTTATGATAAATAATATTAAAGTTAAATTTAATCTATCTTAGAAGTTATTTCTGTGGTAATTTTGGTTTTACGATTTAAGAACCTTTTGACTAGCATGATATATAATTTCTTTTTTATTTTGTAATCGGTATTCTGATATTGTTTAGCTGAGAATCTATGAAAACAGTCTCTTGCATTTGGGTGAATAAAATACAAGCATATGACATTAAAACATAGAAGCAATTTTAAGTAAGTGTGAATGTAACTTTGAAAAATATTAGACATATTTATATAATCAAACAATTGAACAAGCAGAGAGGATCATGTAGAATAGCACATTGAATAGGTGTTTTAGGTGTTAGAGAAGGATCACACAACATGACTTCTCATGATAAGATCAATCACATACTCTTCATGAAAGTATAAATAACCAATTTTCTTATAGGGATTGGTTTATACACTAAAGTCTAGGCCAAAGGTGCTAATTACACTGATTTGGTATGTTATTATCATTTGTGATATGTTGTCTTGACAATAAGTAATTGAGTCTCCATGATCAGTGCTATTGGCTAAAGACACATGTTAAGTGCTTATGCAAGTCAAGACAACAACTAATTCATATTAATTGTTTAGTTGTTATTTGTTTCTATTGTTTTTGTTAATAACCAAGACGTATGATGTTTAAATATTGGAGGTATCTACTATTATAACATTATATTTAGTATTTGGTTGTCATTAACTTGAAGTAAGCCTTGATCTTTATTTTTCCCCCTTGATTTTTCTAAAAATATACTCTCAAGATATTTACTTTACTGATCTTAATCACGAAGAAGAGTAGTAATCTCCACAGAAAGGTTATCTAAACTTTAACTTCTTCTTTGGTCTTATTTGCTAGAGAAATATATTCTAGACTTTAACTTCTTCATTAGGTTTATTTGTTGGACGAATTGTTGTACTTATAGAGGAAACTCATGTGATCGCCTTACAAGATGTCTTTTTGAAACAAATATTGTTTATTTTACTAGTAGTTTTTGGTAGAGAGGCTGATCTGCCACTATAATTAGGTATCTTCAATTTTATAATTTACATAACCTCTACCTTAAGCTAAAAGTGTGTGCCAATTTATTGGATGACTTATTGAACCTTGTTATTTGAAGTAGTCCTGCCAAGACTAAGTGTTTCTCTCTAATTGAAGGACTTGAGATTCATATTTTAACTAGGTAGCATCAGTAAGTTGGCTGAAATTAGAATGTTTTAGTAGCTTGATTTGTGTTAGAATGCTTCATTATTTTGTAAGTTGAATTAAATTAGAATTCTTTAATAAGAAAAACTTTTTTCTAGCTAAGTTAGTTTTGAAAAGTTGTTAAGCTTCTTTGTATTTCTAGCTTTACCTGTAAACAATTTCAGCAACTTATTTTGTCATGTCAATTTGTATATTTTGACCAAATTTTGAATATAAATGAGAATGTGTGAATTTTCAGTATGCATGTTCTTAAAAATGTGCTTGTTACTGTAAGTAGTCCTCAATCAACTTCTGTTTGTTACTAAATGTTTTATTTATTTAAACATGAATAGGTACATGAACAATCTAGAGCATAGTTGGATGTGTGAGAGGTTGGATGATCGAGGGTCTATAAATTCAAGTTTCATAGGTGGCGTTGATAAATTTATCCAATATGCATGTTCTCAAATGAATCACATGAGTGGTGATAAAGTTAGATGTCCATGTAAAAAGTGCCACACCTTTAGATAAATGAAAGTTTAAATTGTTAAACATCACCTTTTTAAGTCTGGATTTGTTGATGCCTATTTGTCTGGAAGCATCAACTGAAAAAAGAATTGATCAATGATATTTCTTCGGGTCAATATTTTCATGGTAGTTCTCAGCCTGAATTAGAATATGATAACCCATAACGGCAAATGATCTGATGGTATTCAATATTTCAGTCTCTTAAAAGGCTAATTCCCTTTACTAATTTGTTTCTTTTCTTATATTATCTCTTTTCTATATGGTTAAACACAATGCTAACTGTTTCACTCCTATATTTGCAGGCGTAAGTTTTTCCAGATGATTTGATAGCTTTTTTTGGAGGCATTTCAAAATATTTTAGCACATTTTCACTTGATTGGAAAATACTTTAGTAATCAACTTATTTGCTGTAAGTTGTAAATATCTTCAAGTTAAATGTACTGCAATCATCTTAAAAGGTTATGTATTTTCTACATGTCCAAGTAATGGTTTTCCTTGTTTATTTCCTTTAAAAATTTTAGATGGTAAAGTAATATTTGTTAGATGGTAAGCCTAGAGGACATGCACCTTTGCTTTATTTATTCCAAAAAAAAATTCTTAGTAGTGATAAGGAGCATATAAAATTCACAAAAGTATCTACATTAGGTATAGGGGTAAAACATTTGAGATAAACAAATTAGCTAAATAGTTAGACTTCAGTAAGAGGTTTGAGTTTTTGTGCTAGCAAATCATCTGGTGTTGCTTTTGTCCATAAATACGAAAAGCTGATTGTTGGGACCATTTCCCATACCTTTCTGATGATTTTATCAACTCTCCAAATATATCAACTTTCATAGGCTTGCTTCACTGTCTTAGGCATGACCCATTTCAATCCAAAAGCTGTACAGAAGTAGTTCCAAGCTTCATAGCACCAGTGTGAGTTCTTTGGCATAGGTTGTCTTGGATAAGACATGCCCCTCTTACAAATGTAAAGTGTGTGGTTTCGTATTCTTTAGAAACTTACATAGTTTACCAATATTTCTTTAACTTTATTTATTACATGAAGCATATGAAGAGATCTTACGAGAAAAAAATGGTATCTCAATCTGATATTGATCAATCTAAAGCGTATTACCAAGCTGCAGGTGGAGAAACGAATAGAAGAATATACGGTCTTGGAACTAAAGCGAAAAATTACTACAAGCATAAGCTTTGTGCCTCATCATCTGTACGACCTTCAGTTTTTCAATCAAAATCAACAACAAATATGGATGAATTTGTAAAGAAAATGCTTTATGCACTTATTAATCATCTTCTTCCTATTCTTATGGAACGGGTAGAAGAAGTGATTACTCCCGTTGACAATCCGTCACCTTTGACCCCCATAATGCCTCCTCTTGCTACTACTAACGAGGTTGATCCCTTAGTTTCAAGTGACGACGATGCTATCCTATAGTACCCGGGCAGCTTTAACTTTCTATATTGTTTCTTATTTTGGAAATTACAAATTGTGCAGCAACAATAGTTAATGATTGTAGAAGATTTTAAGAACAGTTGATACATTGATTTTGATGTTTTGCACTAAAAATATGTGATTTGAATTATGCTATCTACACATTGATTTTAATTGTTTTGCTGCCTAGAATACTCTCTATATATACATAATGTTGCAGACTAGTTTTTATTACTTAGTCATTGTAATACCATCTGCTCTTAGTACATCCATGTATGCACCCGTATAATTTTATTCTTAGTCAGGTGATGCATATGTTAGGTTAATAACTTATTAATCTTCTGAACTTTAGAACTGTTGCGCAAAATTCTCAAGTGATGCGTCTGTCAAATTTGCAGATTTTTCAAGTCAAAAATTTGCTGACTGCTGTGCAGAATTATGAGTATATATTTTACGAACTCTTTACTAACATCTTCTTGTATGGTATATGTTTGTATCTGAACACATACTATGCACATAATATGATTATATCTAATAATAAATTGATTTCATTTCTTATAGGATATTATAGAAGGTAGAGATCCAACACCAAGTGATTTACAATAGCACGTTAACACGGTCATGATGAAAGATCATTTATTGGTGAACGTTCTTGAATTTTCCATGTAAGTCAAAAACTTTAAAGCTTATCTAAAAATGTAAATGCAGGTCTCATAGGTTAAAAATCATATTAGTTGCTGTTGTTTTTGTATAATGAAGGTGTTGTTTTGATGCCTTTTCGCTGCAATTTTAGTATTGTTTTAGTGCGATCCTACTGCTGTTTTAGAGTGACTCTTGTGCAGTTGTTTTTTGTGCAATTCGAGTCATGTTTTAGAAAGTATTTGTTTATGTTGTTTTGGTATAATGTAGGTGTTGTTTTAATGCTTTTCTACTGCAATTTTAGTGTTTTTAGTGTGATCCTACTGCTGTTTTAGTGTGACTCTCATTCGATGTTTTATGTGCAACTCTAGTCGTGTTTTAGAGCGTAATTTGTTGCTTGTAGTAAAAAGAAAAAGTAGTCAGCGTCAAGTTAAAAATTGCAGTAAAAGTGATGGTTTCGTACCTTGGCTAGTCAAGTTTCAAGCGTCTCGTTTCTTTTTTTTTCTTGTGTAGATCTCGACCCTACCCTCTTTTTCAATTAATGAATGTATAGATCTTGAATTTCTTGGGCTTTCATCCTCTGTGTATTGGCATTTCTGTAAGTTGCAGCTCCTGATTATCATGTTGAGTAGACTGGGTTCTTTCGACTATAGTGTGAGTGCTTGCAGGTTCCTTTCACACTTCAGTTTTAATGGGAGTTACAGTAGACACTATTGGGTTGTCCTGAATACCAAATGAGAAATTTGAGTACTGTGCATCATCAGAGTAGTTACCTGCAACTTGGTTCCTTGATTTACTATCATGTGCAAGTGCTTTTGTGTGTGTGGTTTGGGGGTTCTTGGGAACTCTTGTCATGTTTTGTCTGTGTCTGTGTTTTGGGGGATCTTGAGACCTCTTGTCCTATTTTTATCATATGGTTGAAAGATGTACACTGTATTAAAGCTTAAAATGTTATACATCTTTCTACATTTTTCTTCAAAATTTATTTTGTTCCTTATCTTTAATACTTTCTCATTTCCTCTACTTATTATAGGAAAAATATGAAGAAATATTACGATAAAAAACTGTGTCAACTGTTTTGATCAATTTAAAAAATATTACTAAGCTACGTGGAAGAAAAGAAAAGAAGAATATACGGTCTTGGATCTGAAGCAAAAAATTACTATGGGCAGAATCGTTGTCGCTCATCATCATTACCACCTCCATTTTCTCAATCAACATTGACATCAAATATGGATGAGTTTGTAAAGCAAATGATGCCTACACATGCTATTCATCTTATATCCTATTATTGTTGAGCAGATGCAAGCAACATTTACTTATTCTTCAAGAAACCCATCGCTTATGACACCAATAGTGCCTCCTACTTCTGATGTGGATGAGGTTGATCCCTCAATTTCAAGTGACGATCATATCCCTTAGTCTCCCGCAACTTTATTTTTTGATATTGTCATGTTTTTTGGAAACTACGAATTGTGTCATAACATTTTGATGAATGTAGGTTCATTTTAGAGTACTTGATAATTTTTTTTTGGATATTTTATCCAAAACTATGTAGCAACAAATTTAGCGACTATTTGGTAGTTGCTATGTAAAGAATGTCGGCGACGAATTAGTGACGGATTATTGAAGGCCTAATATGTTGAAAAAAATATGTTGTGATGGAAATTTCATCACAAATTTATCAAAAATGACGAAATGAATTATGAAATTAGAAACAAAACTATATAAATATAATGACGACTATGTCCGTCTCAAACAATGGCGACGAAAATATTTTGTCCCTATTATGTCGCTAAACTTGTGATAGAACTTTTTTTTTGTCCTAGAATTATGAAAATAGCAACAAAATTATATAAATATAATGACTACTATGTCCGTCGCTAACAAGTGGTGAGCAAAATATTTTATCACTATGACGTCGCTAAACTAGTGACAGAACTCAACTTTCGTCACTAAGAGCTTACTAACGAGCGTAATAGCAACAGTCAATAATCTGTAGCTAATCCATCACTAATTATTTTTAGTGACGAATTTTCATTGGATAGTGACGGATTTTCTCGGTCGGTAAACACAATCTTTTTTGTAGTCAACCCCTTGTGTGCATCTTGGTGTCTCTCCGAGCCATCATGCTCACCTCTACTTTGACCCAGTCAAGTTCAAAATATACATAAGTCGTGCTGTTCATTTTTTCGAAAATATTTTTACTTTTAAAACTATTTTTTAGATGTAAGGAACTAATTTTCTCAACTGATCTAGGAAGAAGTGGACTCCACAGAGAAGACTTCAACGTCAGTTTGCAATCTGAATCTATCCCTGATTTATCCTTAGGCATTGTACCACTCTCCTTAGAATCCCCGATTTGTTCTTGTACCACTCTCCTTAGCATTCAGTTCGTAGTGAATGATAGTCACTCTCACGTACAAGTAGCTTATACTAATCCAGGTAATCTCCACTTTGTTCTCTTTCTTCCCGGCATGACACCACTTCACACACACAACCTGTTCCTTTGATAACATATTAGTGACGTAACTCAAACACCAAAACTCTACATAAAAACAGATAACTCCATCTCTAGCCCATTCACCGATCAAATTATGTCCTAACCCCTCCCCGGAACAACTTCACATGCCAACTCCAGAGCCTATACAAAATTGAATAACCACTAGGTTCCAAAATAATATTATCAAGCTTATAAGACAATTCAGTTTTCTCACCCATTTCACTCCTAAACCATCAACTTTCAGACAACATACTTTAGATGACACGTGGAAATAAGCTATGAAAGTACAATACGATGCTTTGATGAAGAATGAATTGGTACCAAAAGACTTGAGGAAGTATGTTGTGGACTGCAAATAAATTATTGTATCACGTTAAAAGAAAATAAGATATATCTATAGAACCATACAAAGCTCGCCTTGTTGGAAATGGCTTCACGCAAATCCCTGACTTATATTTTTATCACACTTCCAGTCTTGTTATCAGGTCCACAACAGTGCACCTTGTCTTATCCATAGCAGAGCAGCACAATTGGCACATTTATCAACTCGATGTCAACAATTCTTTCCTATAGGGCTGATGACTGAAGAGGCTTTATGTCTCAATCCCAAGGCTTTGTTAATTCTCATTTCCCTTCTCATGTTTGTGGATTAAAAACGCAATTTATGGTCTTAAACTAGCGCCGTGTGCTTGGTATACTGCATTGCGCCATCATCTATACAAAATGTGGTTCATCAAGTCTGAATCTGATGCTTCTCAGTTTATTTTTAAGAATTTGGCTGCAACTGTTTATGTACTTGTCTATGTTGACGACATTTTGATCACCGGATGTCATCCGAGGTTGATTACACATGTTATTAATTCCCTGGGTTCTCATTTTTCTTTGAAGGATCTTTGTTTCTTAGACTACTTTTTGGGTATAGAAGTTAAAAAGGTTTAGATGGATTTATTCTAACTCAATCCAAATGCATTCTTGACATTGTTTGGAATTGGATATACAAGATTGTAAAGGAGTCTTGACTCCAATGTGCTCTGGTAAACTACCTCGGGTAGCTGATGATTCTGTGCAGGTGGAGAACTATCAGCCACCCATGGTTGTTTACCAATGCAGATTGATGTCAAGACTCCTTTATTATATTGCATATCTAATTCAGACAAGATGTCAAGAATGTATTTGGATTGAGAAAAATAAGACCATTCGGCACTTTTTAACTTCGACAGACAAAAAAGTAGTCTAAGTATCCAAGATCCTCTATAGAAAACCGAGAATCCAAGGAATCATTAACATTTCTAATCAAGCTGGGATGACTTCCCGTGAAATGTCTCCAACATACATGAGTACATAAAAAATTGCAGCCAGATTGTTCGAAATAAACAAAGAAGCATCAAATTCAAACTTGATAGATCCCACTTTCTGTAGATGATTGCGTAATGTAGTATACCAAGCCCGCAAAATTTGTTTAAGGCCATAAATGACCTATTCGAATCGACAAACATAAGAAGAGAACTGGGATATAAGAAAAAACCTTGAGGTTGAGATATAAAAACCTCTACAGTCAACTGGCCAGGTAGGAAAGCATTTTTTGACATCGAGTCGATGAATTTTCCTGTTGTGATGCATTGCTATGGATAAGACAAGGTGCACTGCTGTGGGCTTGACAACAAGACTGAAGGTTTGATGAAAATCTAGTTAGGGTACTGCGTGAATCCGTTTGTACCAAGGCGAGTTTTGTATCGATCTACAGATATATCTGCTTTTCTTTTAATATGATACAATCATTTATTTGAAGTCAACAATATTCTTCCTTGAGTCTTTTGGAAAACCACCTAAATAAACACAACGAGTGGATTTAGGCTCCAAC